CAGCTCCCGGGACGGACAGGTGCTGCGTGGGATTAGTACGCAGCCCCCGTCCTTCTCTATGGGGCTACGCCCCCCTACGCTCACCCCAAGTGCAGGTCCATGCGAGTGTCCCAGCTCACACAGACAGGATCCACGGGTGCTGTGTACTAATCACACACACCACCTGTCCTTTCCGGGAGCTGCCCGATACGGCCGTGCAAGGAGCACAGAGCTGTACGTGGTGGCTCTTTCTTTTGTGAATGAGGCCTAAGGCTTGTGTCCATGGACTTTGTGCTTGTGTTGTGGTTGAAAATGATGAATAGAAAACAATTTTTTTTGGAGGGGAACTTGGCAATGGCAACGTTCATATCTCTATCCTAACAGGTTTCTGTATGGTAATTCTGAAGATTAGTGTAGTGGTTTTATTACAGTTAATTGTCCCTTGCCTTCAATTCTTGTCTTCTACTAATTAAAACTTCAAAGGACATTTAAGACACCGTTCCCTGCTTTCCTTCTGTGTTCTTTAGTGCATTTTGTAACCAGTAATGGCAGTGGGCTGAATGCAGGTCATTCACTGGAGTTATTTGTACAAATCCGTAAGGATATTTCATCAAAAGGTAGAAAAATTGGAAAATGAGATGGGGACACTGAAGCTGGCCATAGACTGATAGATTTTTGTACTAATGTTCATACTAAAATTCTTGGCAGAACATTTGATAATGCCAACAGAGTTTTGTCAAATTTAAGCTTCCTTTGATTTTTTTTTCTTAACATATATGATTTTAGAAATGAATAAAAACCGCATTTCCTATGTGTGGGTTTTTTTTTGTTTAAATGCCAGATATGAACTCCTATATAATATAAAAGCCAAGTATCACTTCCGTTATGCAACTGGGAGACTGTGTCGACAGTAGCAATTTTATTTTCCATCTTGGCCACCACAACACACATTTACTTCACCCCTTTTCACACTTGAGTCAGTGAAGCTTTAATTGGGCTGTAATTTGACACATTTGTAAGAACATAGCCATTGGCCAAAAATGCTACTTTTCTGGAACAGGCACATTTTTGCTAGTATATTTAAAGTCAAAACACTTAAATTATTTTGACAAAAAAATAAAGTGTTTTACAAGCATATAGTACAACTGTGCATGCTACCGTGTTTCCCCGAAAATAAGACACTGTCTTATATATTTTTTTGGCTCAAAAAACCACACTAGGACTTATTTTCGGGTCAGGTCTTATTTTTTTTTTTTTTTTTTATGTACAACAATCCACATTTATTCATGTAGAAAAGTCTACATGTATTCATGTACAAAAATATGGTGATCAGGGCAGTCAGGGGTGCTGTACCTTTCCAAGAGCAATTTGCTAACCAATCGCTGGCCAGAATGAGCAAAGCGCACTTTTACTATGGATTCCTCACAGGCGGAGTGCATTTGGTATCACTCCGCCTGTGACAGAAGCCGGCGCTATAGAGGAAGCATCGCTCCCTCTAGTGCTGACTTCATTGGCACCGCTGACTCTCTCCCGCGGCTCTTCAAGTTCCCCCTTATGCCACCACCGGCCCTGGGAATGGTCACAACTAGGTCTTATTTTCGGGGTAGGTCTTATGTGTTAGCAATTCCCAAAAATAGTACTAGGTCTTATTTTTGGGGTAGGTCTTATTTTTGGGGAAACGGGGTATTTGTGCCTAACATTGATGGCATTTATTTTTTTGATGGAGTAGGAGATGGTTAAAAGTCTATCAGTTTTTTTGTTTTGCTCTGTGCTGCTTTGGAAAGCTTTTTCCTATACTTAGGCCTCATTCACACGGTTGCACGTATACGCGTGTATGTACGTATTGTACCATATGCAGCATATGCAAATAAATGGCTCCATACACATAGCCGCGTATGGAGCTGTATACTTGTGTAGCGTAAACATGCGCAAAAACAGAATGGAACCAAGATGCGTCCGGACAGCATATTTATGCGTATTTTACGCGCACAGTTCATTAAAATGTCTATTAGGAATGATGCATTCTGGGAATGCAAATAGTGCACGCATATACGCACGTATATACGCAATATACAATTTTGCTTGCGTTGTGTGTGAATGAGGCCTTACTGTCTTGTAAACATAGTAGGAAGTGAGAAGAAATGTCTCCAAAGTTAGGGAAATGCTCTTACAGTTGTCCCAGTTGGACAATATTCTCTCTGTTCCTGTTTTTTATTTTTTTTTCTTATTACAACCTCAACATTTTGGATATTCCCTCCACTTTCAGTGCTATGGCAGTAGTCCCTTAGTTAAAAAGAGCGAGTCTTCCTAATTGGGACACAGGCAGCAAAAAAACAAAACTAGAAGGGGGTTCTAACTCCTAACCACTTTATCCGAAACTGGACAAAACATTCCCTTTGTCCATCTGTAGAACTAGTATGCTCTAGCAACTCAATCAGTATGATAAGTGCCTTTTTTTACTGTAATTCTCATTGCGAGTTGCCCAGAGGGCATATACAAGCTCCAACTTGCAGATAAGCCAGTGTTTGCTGTTTACTGAGTGCCGGGGCTGTAACATTACAGAACAAGTCCAGTTTATTGTGAATAATTACGATTCGCTATACCATTACCTGGATAACTGAAAAAAAATCTAAACAGACATGGGTGCTGCTGAAGTTGGCTATAAGGATGGATTGACTGAGGGTATGTGGGCCTGAAGCATGGTGTCTGCTCTAACATAGGCATGGTGCTTTATATACTCTAAACAGAAGGAGAGGTTTTCCTTTAAAGATGCATGGGTTTAACGCTTTGCTGCTACAGGACCTACAGTAGCAGAGAATCCACTGAATAGACCGAGTATTATACTAAAGGCAATCGCCACTCCACCAAGTTCTCTGTATCAAACAAAACCTGTACGCAGAGAAATATAAAAGCTGCAATTGTTAACCACCTCATAAGAATGCTAGTTGGCTGGTTTCATTATTGTTTGGTTTTTTTACTTGGAACAAGTATGCAGAGTAGAGTCAGAATAAATTAGTGGAACGGCCAGTATTTTCTGAAGGATAGGTTGACAATGGCAGCCTCTATATTCTCTCTGCACAGGTTTACTATGAATATAGGAACCGAGCAATGCTGCATTGCATTAGCTATGTCAATGACTGCTGCATCGCCACAGCTGTGAGATGCCTTTTAAGTAGTATTAAACTCTTGAACTTTTGTTCAGTAATCCAGATCAAACAAATATACATTGCCCAGCTAAGTATTTTCTTTTCATTTTCGACCTAAGCACTTAGGCCTTGTACACACAAAGCGTGTGCGTTCCAGAGTGGTAGCTGCTGCAACGCACCACAGTTGCTGTGAAACTTCTCCCCGTGTTTTGGAGGGGGCGTGGAAGCGGTGCCATTGAATACAACGCACCACCACGCCCCCTCCAAAACACGGGGAGAAGTTTCACAGCAACTGCGGTGCGTTGCAGCAGCTACCGCTCTGGAACGCACACGCTTTCGGTGTGTACAAGGCCTAAATGCTTAGGTCGAAAATGAAAAGAAAATACTTAGCTGGGCAATGTATATTTGTATATATAATGTTCCTTGCCCTATTTTTTGCGTTTGCAGTGGAACTCAACGCTGACAAAGTTTTGCCAGGCGTTCGATCGCACTGCGGGGGGGGGGGCGTGTAAGCGGTGCCATTGAATACAATGCACCGCCACATCCCCTCCCGCCCCAAAACACGGGGAGAAGTTTCACAGCGATCGCCGTGCGTTCCAGCAGCTACCGCTCTGGAACACACACGCTTTCGGTGTGAACAAGCCCTTAAGTCATTATTTTTACAGCTGGTTCCAACTCTCTCAGCTCAACTTCCCTGAACTTGCTGTCCAGTACAAGATCACAATGGACAACAGTCTCCAGCAGCCGCCCATCTACTAGCTTTGAGCAGGGAATGAGAAGGAGCAGGAGAGTTTCTTGCCCTGCTGTGCCTGTGCCTTTTGTGGAGCCACAGACAAGGGTGGCTCCATTGGACCTTGCAAAGGAAAGGATCCACCCTAAAAGAAGATATCAGGGCCAGTGCTCAGTTATGCAGGCAACTAAAAAACCCTTTGACTTTAATATGTCTTTAATTTTGACACAGTGAAGCACAAATTAGACTATGTTCTTGTGTCATGAGCTAATGTTTGGTAAGCACTAGACAACCATAATAAACACCTGCTTGTTGACACTTAAACCCACATAAATGTCTTCTTCTTTAATCAAACATTGTATGACAATTCAGTCATGGGATATTTTTATATTGGTAAATGTTCTGGAATTCATGGTAATTGTTTATTTAATGATGAAGATGAAAGGCAGGGACAAATTATAGAGCTTTAGCATTGCAGTAGGATTAATGAGGTAATCAAGTTCTCTTTAATGACCTGTTTAAGTTTAGGACATTCCATTGAAAGAATTTAGTTTCCATCCAAATGACACACATCTATCCTATATCTATCCTCTCTATCTATCCTTTCTATCTAGGGCTGCAACAACTAATCGACATAATCGATTATAATCGATTATTGAAAAAGTTGTCAACTTTTTCAATAATCGATTAATCGGCTTCCGATTGGTTGGCCCTGTTCACGGCTCCACACACGCTGTACGTCACACCTCCTCCCCACCTCACGCTCATCTATCCTTTCTATCTATCCTATATCTATCTATCTATCCTATAGCTATCTATCTATCCTATATCTATCTATCTATCCTATATCTATCTATCTATCCTATATCTATCTATCTATCCTATATCTATCTATCTATCCTATATCTATCTATCCTATAGCTATCTATCCTATAGCTATCCTATCGCTAGTGTGTTCTCTGTATTTAATTTTTTTTTTAAATGTGTTTTTAATCCACACTTTTGAAGAGCATCTTTAGATAAATTTGACTAAACAAGTAATATCTTGCACCAAATGTTGTCACTGAGTTCCGTTCCCAGGACAATTCCCACAATCTGTGTGTTTTTATATAAAAATGTATGAATTCTTTCCTGTCTTTCAGATAATGGCTCTGCACCCACGACGTGTTCGGCTAAAGCCGTGGTTGGTGGCTCAGGTGGACAGCGGGATGTATCCAGGTCTTGTATGGCTAGACAGGGAGGCAAAGAGGTTTCAAATACCATGGAAACATGCAACACGCCATAGCCCCCAGCATGAAGAAGAAAATACAATCTTCAAGGTGAGCAGCAAATACCTGTGTTAGGATACATAATATTTTCATATTTTGTACAGCATTCCTTGTGTTTTGGGAGCACTGTCCTCTGCACGGGTGAAGTGTTGAGCTCTCCGAGCTCTACAGACGCCTGCTGGAGGAGAAAACTGTCCTGTAGCCCACAATCTGCAGCTGTGAGACAGGAAGCAGTTTAGAGCTGACTCTTAAAAATAGCCTTAGTATTATTCCTCACTCCACAAGTGCTCAGTGATACCTAATGTGATTTGGGTTCACAACAAAGTTTGACAGACCAGAGGATCAGTAGACCTCCTCCCTCAGCTCTGCCATCCTGAAACGGGGCCTCCATAACATTTACCCTGAGTGTTACTGGGGCTCGAGGTACTGTGTACATCCCAGGTAATGCTTTGGAACACAGTTTTCACATACAAGCCCAAGTGATGCTTGGGGTTAACCATACGTGAGCTAAAGGAGACCTCCCATTTTCAATGAACTCCAGTCAAACCTTAAAATGGCACAGGAAATTCCTGTGTTCAAGTTCCTCCATCTAATGGGCATAATGCACTGTGACTTTCCTTTTGCAAAGCGAACAATTTTATGAATAGACCTCATAGTGTATGTCAGACATTCCAGCGACTATCTGCGCCTGGGTCTCTAAACACCAATGTTCGACTAGTTTTTCTAATTTGTCCACTTACTACCAAGAAAAGTCAGTGGTTAGATTCTCCGAGTACCTTGGAGTTGTTGGAGCCATTAGACTATTGCCATTTTCAGCCAGATCACCTGACAAGCTACCTGCAAACACCATCAGCCAAGGCTTACCTGGGGAAAAAGTGAATGGACAAGCTGGAAAAGCCTCTTTTATTGCTATTTTCACTCTGATTAGAGTGAAGCAGAGGTGACTATGGTCAACCTCTATTGTCTTCCCCCATTGGCTAAACATGATCTGACCCAACCTGTTAAGTTTAGGGATGTGTTGACTGACAATGAAGTCTGAAGGCGGTCTGATCAAGTCTGCATGTCTTACCGTCCGCCCTTTAGTGTCTATGGCCAGCTTTCCAGTATGTTTTCCTTTTAATTACAAGAAGTAAAGTAGTGACAAACAAAACAAATTGTTTAGGTATACATTTTTTTTTTTTTGTCAGTCAACCCCCTTTTGTTCACATTTTAATAAGGCATAATTTTGCCTAAGGAACCTATCTTTGGACACACAAAATCCACAGATCTAATTTCATGGGAAACTGACATGATGGAAAGATGCAAGCTATGAGGCTGTCAACCTGATCCTAGCTTATCTATCTACTGACAGCCAATAAACCTGTAGTCCTCAAACAAGCACATGCATAGCAGCCACTTGGCTGCCAATTTTAACAAGACATTACTGTCCTTTCAGTATTCACACAAGGTTACTATTCCTTTTTTGCATGCTAAGATTGAAAAAAAGTTTAGTACAATAGAATACCTTTTGTCTGTTAAATGGTATAGTTATTTATACAGGTTTTTACACCAACACTAAAAGAGAAATTGGAGGAGGTAGGGGAGATGGAGGTATTTGGTTACAAATGATTGACATTTTAAGAGCTAGTCTCTGTTAATGATTATTGCAAATAATGCATTGAGCTGCAAAAACTGGAGCTGCCTGTATCTCCTTCTTAGTTTTCATGTGGAAGTGTTAGACATGTTCTGTTAAATGTGGAAAATTATTTTCCATTTTGGAATATTTCTCAACTACTACTGACGTAAAATTATACGGAATACTGTATCTTTTACAGGCATGGGCTGTAGAGACTGGTAAATATCAAGAAGGAGCTGATGATCCTGATCCAGCAAAGTGGAAGGCCCAACTGCGCTGCGCACTTAACAAGAGTCGGGAATTTAAACTAATGTATGATGGAACCAAAGAAGTTCCAATGAACCCCATTAAAATCTATGAGGTGTGTGACATACCTCAATCCCAAGGTCCCATCCTAAACCCAGGTAAGATTAAAACCAAAGGGTGTGTTGGCATCCAAAATGCAGACCTTGGTTTATTTGCACAGTAATTTCTGTAATATGGTTGAGGTTTGAATTTGTGCACGTCAATTATTGGGTTAAATAAGATTAGAATTTGTACATGTGAGCATTGCAAAATATACTAAAGTGCTACAAGGGAGCTTATAATTAAAGATAGATAGATATAGATGTGTGTGTATATGTTCATTACAAGCAGGTATAAATCTTTTCTGCCTGACAATGCTTTTTAACAGACTAGGAACACTGTAGATTAGTTTAACTCTAGCTACATGCATACATAAACTAGATAAAACTGACATGACTTTATTGCTTGTACTCCACTAAAGCTGCAGTATACTACACATTCAGACAAGTTAAGAAAGGCATAGAGCAGCCTGTCAATTGAGTAGTAATCCATATCAACCAATCATAAATGGTTTGTTTTTGTTTTTTTCTCTAACCTCATTTTATTTGGTTGCTCACTTGCCCTTGTTTTTGGCACTGTTTTATTGTAGAACCCCAAGCTAGTCCTTTTTGGAACATCTCCAGAGATACTACTGGTGTTCTGATTTTTCATATTTTTGTACCCATGTCTCTAATTTAGTTATTTTCACTGTGGCAGGTTCTACTGGTTCTTCTCCATGGGATGATGATGAGTATGAAGAGGATGATATAAGTCAGTCACAGATGCATGTCCCGATCCAGGAGCCTTTTAATGGCTTGACAATCAATGGTTTGTGTCAGTATATTTTCTAGCATATGGTACAATTAAAAGGTTACATTGTTGGGTAAACTTCAAACTTAAAGGAGAACTATGGTGTTAGGGCTTTTCCCCATAGTTCTCCTTATGGTAACGGGAGGACACGAACTAGCGTCCTCCCGTCACCCTAAGCTCAGTATACCGCGAGCTACAGCTCGCGGTATACTGAGACGCCACAGCTAAAGTGGATCCCGACAATTATGTCTGGATCCGCCCAGTTGCATGAGCTCTACCTCTCTAGAGGCAGAGCCAGCTGTACCCGCCCCCTCCCCCGTCCGTTCCGCCAGTCAGCGCTGGCGGATCGGGGAGGGAGGAATCCAGTCCCTCCCCTGTCACGGCAGAGAGCTGTGACAGGATCGAGAAGTGAGCGAACGCCGGTATGTGTTCGCTCATTTCTAGATCTACTGAGCCGACCTGTGACAGTTTCATTGTCGCAGGTCGGCTAGAACTAGGAGGATGAGTGAAAAGCACTCACCTCATAGTTCTCCTTTTAAGATGCCTGAAATTGATACAAGGAGGGCTAGATATAAGATAGTGATCTCTTGGCAAAGATCACATTCTTCCACCTTCTTAAAACAATATTTTTTCTTTCGCCAAACAGATTACCAATTGGAAGTGTAGATATAATTTTTAGAAGGGAGCTTAGATCTACAGCAGAAGGTTGCTATAGCACAAGGTTGGGAAATGTTTGCAACTAACAGCCGATTGTTCCTCCTCTTCTGGAGGAGGAGGAATTGAGCTTTTCCTACATTTGCCAGATCATCTGTTGGCTGAATAGGGTGTGAAGAACCAAGGGTGTTCTGAAGCCAGATGTCTGTATGATTGTCATTGGTGAAACACCCAGCTTCCTATGGCAAATCTGAGTTTAATGAAGCCATGTACTTCAAGAAATTTGAAGGCTGCTATTTCAGATCCCTCATGAAAATGCTAATTGCCTCCTTTATTTAAAGAATTCACTAAGTTCCACTAACTTTTGGAAGTCTATGTATATCTTCTCGTGTAACTAAATGCTGAAGCGTTGGTGGGAGTTGAAGACAGGTTTGGTATTGGGGACGGTATAGCTATAATGTCAGAATAGCTATATCACCACTTGATATAGTGGATGCTGCTTTCTATTGTATTTAATATATAATTTTTGTTATGCATAACTACCTTGATTCATAAAGCCGGATATTGTTGTTGCTGTTTAACATTTCTTAGCTATTCAACACCATAAAGCTTCATATGATTGTGTTCAAGTAAAAAAAAGGTTACATTAAAGTTGCTTTGTAGAACATTTTTATTAGAGTTCTCTTTAGTTACATTCCTCCTCTAACACGTATATAGCAGTAGTCATTCAGACAAAAATAAATTGTTTAGAAAACAATAACTACTGTCATCTTTCACGGATCATTTTTAAGCTTTGTTTTCTGCCCGCCAATGGAAATACAAAGCCATTCCACATGCACAAAGATCTTATTATTGTAGGGTATTATTTTCACACATAATAACTTACTGGTTTTCAGCTAAATAGAACAAAGGTTTTGCAAAACACCAATATACCATTTACAGGACAGTTCCTTTTAAGGGTTAGTAATGCTGCCCAGCCTGTCTGTCAGGATTTGGGAATGATGAAACTCATGACACAAATATGTGACCTGTATTTACTTTTTATTATACTCTGTACTATTTTGCTGCTGTAACCAGAGAGCTACTGTTGAACAATGCTAGGTCATATTTGGAGGAACTGTTAAAAAAAAATATATATGTGTGTGTGTATATATTCATGACGGGTAAAGATATGTGAACAGATACACTGAAGATATGGGTAAATCGCGTTGTTTATCTTCATATATCTTCAGAAAAAAAATCACTTCTACTGTCGTGGTAAAGAACCTGCTTCCCTATTTATAATGGTCTGGCCCTCTAGCAACTTCAGCGCAAAATTATAGCTAATTTGCCTACAAACGTCAGGTGGTCATAATAATCTGTATATATAGTAAAAAAAAAAAATGTACTGAAATATATTTACAAAAGGGAAATTGTGACATCTTGCCTAAATGAACAAAAAAAAATCCAGTGGTTGGGTTGATGAAGTCTAAATTGTAGTATTTTGTGCATTCTTCAGAAGTCTATTGCAGCTGTAATGTATTGGCATTGTGTGAATTTAAACATGCTTTGATTTCTCATGTATCTTCTCAGATTCTCCCATGGCTCCAGCAAGTCTAGATAGCTGTACTCCTGAACCAAACTGGCCAAAGTCAGAACCGCAAGACATGGAGGTTCCCCCAACCCCAGGAGGGGTGGAGCTTTTTGGTTCTCCTGAATTGTGGATTAGCTCCCTACCTAGTAAGTACACTCAGTACAGGAGCTGAAAGAAAAAAAAAAACAATAAAATGTTTTCATGCCAATGATTTCTAAAGTGTTACTCTGTCCTAACCAGCTTTGGAGAAACTTCTACGCAGACGGGTTCGACTAAATTTAGTTTACACCTCTTATGCGGAATTATGTAGCTGTCAGACCCTTAGATTCCAGAACGTTAATAATAAATGGAAGACTTGGATTACTCACCTTGTTTCTGAAGATTGGTTAGAATATGTAGATACTTGTATACCCTCCCTTACCTGCTCCCAGAGAGAAAAAAAATGATACAGATGAAGTATACTTGCTCTTCATAGGTTGGGATTCAAATCCTCTCCTTATTGCTTTAAAATATGTTGTGAAGGAGTTATTTTTTTTTTTTTTTTTCATTGATCTTGGTCCTGTACATTGGTGTACACCTTTTTGGTCAGAGGTTATGGCCTTTTTGGAGTCACGTTTGGGCGTACCCATTGCTTGTCACCTCTCAATTTGTTTACTTGAGGATCTTCCCCTACACGCATACGAAACAGTCATGGAATTCTTTTCTTCCAAATTATATATATATATCCTTTTAGGTTGTGGATAAACCAGGGGCCCTCCAGCTGTGGGAAACAAAGTCCCAATAGGCATGGCAGGACTCTGACAGCCAAAGGCATGATGGGATTTGCAGTTTCACTACAGCTGGAGGGCCACAGTTTGGCTACCCCTGGAATAAACCCTCACCTCCCTCTCTGAGTGGATAAATAAGCTCATAGATCAGGTTCTTCCGATCTATAAAATTACCTACGAGCAGAGGGGTAGGCCAAGCCCTTGACTCCTACCTTTACGATCCCAGTGCTGACTGAAGTGGGACAAATGCTTTAATGTACTAGATGTTCTTTTTAGCGTTTGCATAATTGACTTTCAATAGTAAAGACTTTTGTATTGTGTATTTTGCTATCATCATAACCCCATAAAATAAGAGGCAAACAAATTATTTGCTTTGTTATGGTTTTATTGTTTTTCGGTTGCTGTTTGTAACATGGCATCTGTTGACTTAAAGGCTATCTTAAAAAAAAATGATGCACACGCCTCAAGAGTAAAAATTCAGAGTTAGGACTTACCGGTAACTCTATTTCCATTAGTCTTCCAGGACAGCATCACGAGATGGAATCTCCTCCCCCACACACAGGAAACACGTCACTTAATCTGTTTAAAAGACCCTCCTCTCCTCCAATAATTTTCCTCTCTATGATGCAGCCAAATCCTTGGTCTCACTTTGCCCCCCACTTCTAGCAACAGAGGCAGTGTTGTCAATCCAGAAAGCAGGCAGAACTAGGTGCAGATTGAGGAGCTACAGGCTTTTGAATCCGCAATGACAATGCTGATAGCCATGCCCCCGTCAACAGTTTTTTAAAATGCTGCTGTTGTGCAAGCAGGCGCACTCGGTTTACATGAGTTGGCAATGCTACTCTGAATTCAGGAGCAGTTAAGCATCATTGACACCCCATCACAGAAAGCTGCTGTGCGCCATATCTATGTTGTACAATTAGTCCCAATGTGTAAAGGTCATAATCAGTCTAGATGAATGAAAAATATACTTAAGTAAAGTCCTAGCATGCAAATATGTTATATGACATATACACTCTTAAAGTGACACTAAACTCAGGAGTTAAATCTTAAAAATTCATTCATGTACCTTAACTAGTAACAAAAATGTATCCTATTTGTGTATCACTCGGCTGTAGATGATCAAATCATCTCTGAATTGGTGCGGACACTGTCCTTCCTTCTGCAGGGTGGCTACTTTTGTTCCCCATGGTCCCTGTGTGTGTTGCTAAGTAACCACCACTGCAAGCTTACTCCTGCGATGGACTACAATCTCATCTTTAGTTAGACTATAACTTCAATAAAAATTAGCTATCATGGGAGTGAGCTTGGAGGGGTGGCTACTTCACAACACACACAGGGACCATGGGGAACAAAAGTAGCCACCCTCCAGAAGGAAGGACAGTGTTGGATTTGAGGCTCTACAACTGAGTGATAAACAAGCTACATTTTTAATGTAATAGTTAAGGCACTTAAATGTGTTTTTTAAGGTTTAACTTCTGAGTTTAGTGACACTTTAAGAGTGCCTATGCCATATAATATGTATTTGCATGCGAGGACTTTACTCGTGTATGTTTTGTATTTTTCATTTCCTGTGTTAGATGTTTCAGGGTGTGTATGTATGGTATGGTATGTATAATATTTTTTTTTTTTTTGCAGTGACTGATCTTGAGATCCAGTTCCTTTACAGGGGAAAAGAGATGGGTCAGACAATGACGGTCAGTAACCCTCAAGGCTGCAGACTTTTCTATGGTGACCTAGGCCCAATGCCGAACCAGGAAGAACTTTTTGGTCCCACCAGTCTGGAGCAGGTTAGATTTCCAGGCCCAGAACAGATTGTAAATGAGAGGCAGAAGTTGTACACTAGCCGCCTGCTGGATGTCATGGACAGAGGACTTATCTTGGAAGTCAGCGGGCATGCTGTCTATGCTGTTCGACTTTGCCAGTGCAAGGTTTACTGGACAGGACCATGCTCTCCTTCACCAAATATTCCAAATCTGATTGAGCGCCAGAAGAAAGTGAAACTTTTCTGTCTGGAGGCCTTCCTAAGTGGTGAGTTTTTTTTGTCATTCTTTTTTTAATATACCAGGGTCTACCACAGTTATTACTGTAACTATAATGCAAATGTATATAGACCTATTGTCTAATTTAAGCAAATTACTGAAATTTAAACTGAACATGGCAATAATTAACCCTTTCGCTGCCAAGTCCCCTGGAGCGCTTTACACCTCAGCTGGCCACGCCATTTTTGCAAGTGACTTATGTTAAAAATTGTTTTTGCGCTGTGTTGGTGTTTGTGTTGTGATAAAATGATACAGGCATACATTTAATTGCAACACACCATGTTACAATGCTTTGACATGTTATGTGTATGGGGGGGTTTAATTTATTTTAAAAAAAAAATATTCTACTGTTGGGTCTTTGGCAAAATATCAGGGGTCTAAACAGACTCCTGACATTTCCCTTTTGAAATGGAAAAAGAAATTGGGGACACACTGAGTTCTCAATTCTTTTTTTCTGCAGCCTCTGTTCTAAATTATTGGAAAGCACTCGGTACAGAGGCTTTCCTTACTATCAACAGGTTCTGAATGGGTAGAAGCCTCTGTAGTGAGTGCTTCTCCCCATTGAGAAAGTCATGAATGAACAGGAAGCCATGTAAAGCACTTCCTGTTCATTCATAACAGGGGACACAAAGTAATGTGTCCCCAGTTTTTTTTACAAACACTGGAGTGATCAGATGATCACTCCAGTGTCTGCTTTGCACAGAGGATCGGTAAATATCAGATATCCTGAAACTGACATGACAGTGGCGGCTCTCCTCCCCGCTCGCTGCTCTCTCATGCCGCTCTATCATGATCGAGTGACTACCTACTCTCTCCCGCTGGCCATTTCTCCTCGGATCCTTGCTGTCGCTGATGGCTATTAATTTGAAGAGGACCTTCAGGGGAACCGTTCTAATATAAGTTCATGGTCGTTAAAGTGATCATGAGCTTATAGCAGAATGGTAAATGCCAACGACGTAAGGCATACTGACGTGGCAAGGCTGGGAACATTTTTGTTACCACTTATGTCGATGGTAGGGACAGGGTTAAAGCAACCATGCAAGTGGGGGAAAAAAAAAAAACAATTTGCATTTATTTATCCCATTAGTTTCCTCTTACCCTAATTGTCTCTAACTAATGTCTATTTTCCTTGCCCATTTTCTGTTCTGCTCATTTAAAAAAAAAAAATTTTTTTCTTTTCATCAATATTCAAACAGTTTCTCGTTGTCTTTTTAGTTTTGTTTATTTGTTTGCAGTTTAGTTATTACACATTTTATTGCAAACAGCATTTTTCTCTCACTGACCAACCATGTAAGGGGGGGGGGGGGTTTTGCTCCCTGCCGCATTAAAGGGGG